GCGCCAGAGGAATACAAGAAACTTGCCGAGCGGTGTTGTGATGCTGATCCTGATAAGCGTCCAAAGGATGGATGGACGCTTTGCCGGGAAATTGGCGATATTATTGAAGATGTACAAAAGGGTAAATCTGATGACAACGTGTGGAATACTATCTATCATACTGATGTAAAACCCTTATCACGTCTCGAGAAAGAGAGTAAATATTCCAGCACACGCTTACCCACTGGATCTTTGCCTAAACCGAGAAATAGCTATGATTTGGATTCAGCTGCAGGTATGTTACGCATTAGTACAAAATAAAGTCAATCTACAATATTTATATTAACATTATCCGCTGATTATAATTTAGTGACTCAATTTCTTTTCGAATAAAGTTGTACTTCAACGGGGTTATTTACTATTACGGTTATCGAATTATACGATGTGCTTTCACATGTTACAATATGGTTGACTTAAATCAATCGCGCACGGGTAGATTATTTGCTTATGTAAAAAAAAAAAAATCTTGAGACAATGTGTAAAATTGGCAATGAGCTTTATGCTAATCGTTTCTGAATAAAACATAGCAACATTCGAGCTCGTTTCAAAGCGTCTGCATCGGCTGGATGATATGTATGCTTCCCGACATTGTTTTCGTACCCAAACCTGTTCGTTCTCGAATACATTGTTATTTTGACACAAGGCTTATTTAATTTTAGACATGTACTGTTTTTTTCCGCGTAATAGTAGATCATCCCATCGGTAAAACTTAGTTTGAACTATTGACGATAATAAGCCTTTATATCAACGGAAATTGAATAAACGATTTCCCATTGAAATTAAATTACTTCCTTCTTTCATTTTAACCGGATATACAGTCTTGTACCTATAAACGGCTCACTCAGCTGTAAAGATCATTAGTGTATAGCAGAACGAGAGCTTATAGTCAATATTGAAGGAATTACTGTTGTTTAATTAGTTAGTTTAAGACAAATAAGATTTACAGAACATCTCGACTCTGTGTAGTATAATAATTGTTTTTATTATCATATCGTATGTACCCTTATTTGGATACGGGTGATTATTCTCGCACGGAGTTAAGTAAGCGAGCAGAAATATTATAGATTTAGATCAGTTGCAAGTTGACACGAAGCTGACTTCGAATGGAAGGTTACGTGTATTGAATTACTACTATTTGTGTTATGCAATGAGCTCTTTTTACACGACACGCTTTGTATTATAACGTTTCACTCGACGCTGGTATGATTAATATTTTTCGTTGTTACCTGAAACCGCAAACGTTTATTGTCATAAAGTCATAAAGTAGAGCCGCTAAGTGTCAAGATTTGCAAATTGCGTGAATTCTTGCACATGCAATGAAGATGTTTGGTTGCTTTTCTACCATGGCTCGCGCGATCAGCGCGATAGTGGCAACGTGTTGAATAGTATAGAATGTGTGACAGGTGTCTATGCAGGTAAATAACAGATTCCAATTCCCAGTGGTACAAAAAGTTCCTGTTTTGCTCACGTGCCAGATAGAAAAATTGTGGCAGAGCACATTGTAATCACATAGACTTCTCCAGGATGTCGGGTCGTGCCTACAGAAAAGCTTTAAAAGATAAGGAGCTACAAGCGGAACGAGGAAGTTCCAGTAATTTGGATTTTGAGGAATTGGATGCTGAACGAAACGAACCAGCCAAAAATTTGTTTGATTTGGTAATGTCTCTGTGGCGGCCTTTCGCGTTAGGGCCGAGCCAATGGTGTACCGTACGAAAGAAGTGATATTAACACGCATATATGACAGCTTAATGAAGAAGAAGAAAATAATAATGACGAGGAAAGGTCTGCTGAGGAGGAGTTAAAGGACGAAGATTCAAAGGGGGAGGCAAGTCGAAATATATAGATCGAAACTTGTTGATGCACAATGAATTAGTTTGATCTTAACTAGTGTATTATGGGAACGTTTTCAATAAACCCCCTTTTTCTATATGTACATAGAAACCGATTGCTCCGACGACCAAGTCCAAAAAGAAGAAAAAGAAGAAAAAGTCAAGAGGAGACCAGACCACCACGAGAACGAATCAAATTGATGAGATGAGTGTGGGAGAGTTGGAAAGGGCTATCAGAGAGATTACCAAAGAGTAAGTCATCCTCCTTAATGTTTCTTCAACTATACACTTATATGCTAATGCCTATATATATCGAATAATAAATAGACTTGGTCCACAATCTAGTAATTCAGTGAAAACGAATAAATCAAAAAAGGCCAAATCAGATTTCCCCCGTGACAATTCGAATATATCACTACTGACAGTAGATACTAAAATGCTAGATGCCGATGCTGAGATGAGGAGAATGTTTGGATCTGCCGTTGTGAGTGAAAAAAAAACCCAATTATTATTCTACTATTCATTCTCTCGCCCTTTTTGTATTTTGCACGTCTCATGTTTAACATAGTTGTTCAGGTAGATCGAGAAATCCGTGGTCGGAACTATTCTCGTACGGCCAAGAGAATGCTCTTGGCTAGACCTCGAGATAGTTGGCCTCCAATTGACAGAGTAGGATACGGATTGAGTATGGAGTTTGTGGAAGAGAAGAACGGAGTTCAATATTTTAAGATAAATCATTCGCAAAAGTATCGTTCTATACAAGAGTTGTTTCTTGATTGCATTGCTAGTCACGGTAAGTTTTATAAAGTCTCTTAATTTCCGATTAATTGTTTTGGGTGGTTTGTAACTCGTAGAGAAAATACTAAGCATACAAGGATAATTATTATTAGATCCAAACACCATTGCTGCTCTTGTGCGCGATAATCCATATCATATTGATTCGTTGCTGCAACTGAGCGATATTTGCAAAATGTCTGGAGATCATGGTGTTGCCGGAGAGATGGTTGAGCGCGCATTGTATGCGTTCGAAAAGTGTTTTCATCCTGAATTCTACATATCAAAAGGAACAGTTCGGCTGGATTACAAACACTTTGAGAATCGGTTGGTATTTGTGCCACCCACTTTTGGTTTGGAGATTATGGAATGCTTTTTTTCTTACTCGTGTTCTTCCATCTCACTGGTTTTTCTGTTTGTATTTTGCAGGGCATTTTTCCTAGCATTATTCAGACATGCAATGTTTTTGTCTCGCAGAGGATGTTGGCAGACAGCGTTTGGTTTCACCAGATTACTTTTAGCTTTGTCACCTGAGAGCGATCCGTTGTCTGCATTGTTATTTATTGATTTCTTTGGGCTTAAAACGCGGCAGTATTCATATGTATATACTATGGCTAATGAGTGGAAGGCGAAAAAACTCTATAGATATCCCAATTTTGCATATTCGAGGGCACTGGCCAAATTCCATCTAGAACTGCAAGATGATAAGGACTCGGTAAGTGTAATCAAAGAACGTTAATATTAGTGATGGAACTGTTACCTTATTAATAATGTATGGTTATCATTATTATAGGCTAATGAGGAGAGTTCTGCTCTGTTAAAACTTGCAATTATATATTTCCCGGGGATAGTGTTAGGATTGGCTAAGAAATGTGATATCATATTGGGCAGCGACATTGTCAGTCATGCATATTTTCAACCACTGTAAGAGCTTTTTTTCTCTCCGTGTTATCTGCTTTGTATAATTGTATCATTACAAATACTTCTTCATCATGCAGCGAGGATAAGTCTTACTTGAGCCTATTGTATGATTTGTACATTGAACAGACTTCTTCATTATGGGCACAATCGGAAGTACGTGTTTTTATTGTCCAGTGACGTGTGAATTTGGCTTTGAATTTGATAACTTATATTAATCTCAACAGGTAGCTTCGTGGTTAACGACTACGTTAGTTAGTCTAATGTCTGAACTATCCGAACACGTCAGCGAGCAGGAAGGTGGAAATCAGCTTGTAATTTTTATTCCATCCCATACGAGTTCTGGTGACCGTTTTGCATGAACTAACATGTGTTTTTTGTATATTTCCAACTGGACGTTCTGCGACGCTTAAAGGACAAATAGAGGTTGGTGAATGCATTCGTGAATCATTTTATAATGCCGGGGTACCGCAAAATGTTTGTCGATTTGTAATTGTATCAGGTATAGGTATTTACTATATACGAGTTTGGTATCTTTGTTGGCAGTGTTTGACCAAGTGTCTTGTTAATTATTAGAGAACAACAATCTCCGTGGCCATCTGCCTCCTGAAATAAGTGCGATGGAGATAATGCTGTACGATCCATTGCCGCCGACTGACGGCGACAATCAATATGACCGATATGTGATGGGATCGAGTTCGGGAGCGCGTACTCACAGGTGGCAAAATTTCTTAGTGGCTCAATTGAGAAGGCTGTTAAACGGAGCACCAGTGAGTAATTATTGACAATAATGCGGTTACGTGCCACCAATTTTAATAGTCGATTATGAACGGTTGGTTAACTCATGTTTTGGATACGTCGTAGAACGCGGACCTCAATAGATTGGCTGAAAGATTAAATAACCATATCATTGAGGACGAAGAATTATTTTTCGATCCGCCTATGGATGGAATTATAGATCCTGAAGCTCGTTTTGGCGTACCCGGCGCTTTTCCTGACGTTCTCCCTGGCGCTTTTCCTGGCGACTTGGCCAGCAGTTTCCCTGCCGAGATCCCTGATGATTTCCTTGATGACGCTTTTCCTGATGAATTACAGGTATATCTATTACGAAAAACATGAATCATTATAATACTGTCATGATCAAACTGTTTAAAATTATGATATTCTAGGATAATGATGAGGACAACAATGATAATAATAATGACAACGACAATAACAACGACAATAACAACGACAATAACAACGACAACGAAAACAACAATAATAACAGTAATAACGACGACGAATGAAACTCGTATCAATGATAAGGATATTAACTATCGTTCAAATCAACTGTCGAGCGTGCGCATCGATCGATATATTTAATAAATTCTCTACTTTACCTGTAAAATTGTTTGCAATAACTGTAGGCTGAGATGCAGTTGCACGTATCTAAGATATCTTTTTAATAGCCTAAGCTTCCACGAGTAGTCAATCGTGCTGCACGAACTTGAGCAATTAGTCAAGGATAGAACGTTTGGATATATAACTTAAAATATAATGTAACCTCGTGCGTTTCTCATTCGATGATACGTAAGTATAGTATATACTATCGATATCCTTTTTCCCGCTAAGAAAAAGAGCTGGGAGAAATTCTTGATAAGCGTTCCGCATTCGGGCTGGGAGGATAGACAACTCCAAAACATTGTGAGGTTTAATTCTGCCAAAAAAAAAAACATAAAACAAAAAAAAACCCCTCAGTACCCAACGAATGTCAGCACTCTCACTGATGTTTTCCAAGCGTGAGTGACCATCTGTTTATAACGCGTGACCGGACGTAAAGAACGCCAGTTTCGTTGAAAGTTACAGCAAATGGTACGTACAATCAGTGGTACTCAATCATAGTTAGTTGCTCCGATGGGATATTTATTTTTTCCAGGATAGTATTTCAGTTTTTTGGCTGTTATAGATAATTATGTTTCCGATCGGGGACACTTTCAGAGAGCAACTTTCGCGGGCGACCGCTTGATAAATATGAAGAAAACTTTTATATGAATGCAATATGTTAGGGTCACTAAACAAGTGTTAAACGCCGCCTTTCTAATGGTAATTCTTATAGGAAGAGAAAAACACGTTACATTTCAATGACAGGTTATGAATAAATAGTTCCAAATAAGTATAAGACATAGGAAGTTGAATAAAAACACGTCGTCATTTATCAGCGAACTTAACAGTCGGCAGCAATAGTCTTAGAAACCATTAAATTCAATTTGGATTGCAAAAACGCCAACGAATAGACTATAATCGGCGCTACTTGGATCCTTCGAAAAATGACAGCAATTGTGCAACAATTGATCGATTGCATTATATCCTATTAAAGCTTACAACTTCAAAAGACTTTCTCAACAAAAATTGTGAAATTTCGACGTCGAGTCAACGTACGACCATACAACAAGTCTCAATAAAGTAAGTTTGGCAACAATACAACGTTTACATATCAATTTAACTTATATGCCAATTCCTAAAAAAGAATGAAGGGTTGTGTCGCCAAGTGTTTTCGCCCCAATTCCCGAAGTAGAAGTAATTCCTACTCTTTTTTCCCCGTTACTTGGAAAGCAGCAGCGAACAACAATACTTGAATTACGATTTAGTTGGAAGACCTGTTATAATATATATTATTAAAATTATATCCTGAAAGATATCTTACTGTTTTTTGTGAATAAATTTCTTCCATGTATAATTGGTAAAGTAATCATGGTGACCTCTTTTTTGGGAATGATGCTATTAATTATAAATTGACTTGTCAGATAAACGTAGCCATAAACTCAAAGCCCACTTTTCGTGCCAGCAATGAAGAATATTGTTGTATCGTTTAGCTGAACGCGTCTTTATTGTAATAGACTTTGCAATCGTGGCGAGTCTTCCTCTTTTACGCGTTTGTTTGTTCTACCCTCACGGGGAAAGGTCACTAGCAATCTTATTATTTAGTGCTACTGTAAAATGGGACAAGGTTTAGTAGTTTGTTGCGTTAGGGTTGTCGTGATGCTTTTCCGGAAAGTAGCAATATAAAGTGACCGGTGACGCATCCTGCAACCAACATTGCTAATAGAAATAGGACGATTACATTACGCGGATTACAATTATTATCTCAATGATAGATGAAAGATGTCTAATCAGCAAAAATCAAGGAAATTCATTGGCAAGTCGACTTATTTGAGCGTTCACGTTATTACGTTCAAGGATCTTCTACTGATCAACGTATGACTTTCCTTCACAGTCAGTCATAGACAAATGACATCACCCTCAGCGAGTCATCTCCGCTCATCGTTACGTTGCAAATATCATCTTTATAGGATGTCAGCGAATACGAACCCTTCCCGCCGCCAAATCCCACGCTTTCTCATAGACGTTCAAAATGCAGATCCCCAACTTCTACAAAAAAAATTTCGCAAACTCGAGTCTGAAGAGAGTGAACGTTCAAAACAAGCAAATGACACAGCTAGTCGTTTCTCCCTCACAATCGCCAATAGCAAGGCTGCTGGTCCATATAACAGATACATGGATATAATGCCGTACAACCAAACACGCGTGAAACTCTTATCGGGAAAGACAGACTACATCAATGCCAGTTATCTTGATGCTCCTGGGAAAATAAGACGATACATTGCGGCCCAAGGACCGTTATCAAAGACAATTGATGATTTTTGGTTGATGATATGGGAGCAGAATTGTGGTGTGGTGGTGATGTTGACGCAAGAACGAGAGAAGAATATGCCAAAATGTGCGAGGTATTGGCCCGAGAAGGATAAATCTCTTAATTTTGATGACATTGGAATGACAGTCACTCTCGAGTCTGAGGGTTTAGATCCGAGCATATCATCCATTGTACGGAGTATAACGCTTACCAGGAAAGAAGACGATAATAACGAACAGTCTCTTAAAACACGTCGGGTCACCCAGTTACACTTTATGGGATGGGCTGATCATGGAGTGCCTGATTCTCCAGACGCACTTTTGCAATTAATTTCCAAGACAAACGAGTTACAACAATTGCATGCTGATGAAAATAACGCTCGCACTCAACCGGATGCTGTCGGGCCTGTCGTAGTTCATTGCAGTGCTGGAGTCGGTCGAACCGGCACGTTCTGTACTGTTGATAGTGCGATGGCTTTATTACCAATAATGGATGATGATTCGATGGATCTTGTATTTCATATAATAGGGTTCTTCAGAGAGCAGAGAATGAGAATGGTTCAGACTCTTCGGCAGTACCAGTTTTGCTACATGACTTTATTGAGAAAGTTTATGCTGGACGGAATCAGTGAGTAATCGATTAAGTGATAATACAGCAGAAAGGGACTTTCTCTCGCATATCGCATGCATCCGCCCGCCGGTGCTCGCATCATTTAAATGAAATCGAAGAAGGGATAAAAAATCATTGTAAAAATATCGATATATTACTAGATTGTGATAAGCTTGTCAAGTGAAACTATACAGATGGACTTTGCGATCATTGTCGGGAAGCCATATAAATAGAGCTTACTTATTTATCAATAAAGTCCTATGGTGATGATATCATCATTGAATCATATTAGCGCAGAACAACGATATTTGTATCCAGTTTGTACATTTCGATATAATATATTCGCAATTTATTACATAATCAATCTCTGTCATAAATACTATGTTGTTACACAGTGTTGGAGATTCTAGTCTATTTTCCATCTAATCCCTGTTGCTCGAGATAGCGATTCATATCCAAACCCCCGATCCAACCCTCACCTCTACTTTGAATATTGGTTGCCCGGCAAACGTCAGCTCTTCAATGTTACGACTGCCAAATCTAAAAGAGAGATTAGCGATCCGCGCAGATACCATACAATGCTTTCAAACAAGTAATGTATGCTCACTTTGATGGTGCGATCGGCACAACCGGTTATCAGATTGTTATGTCCAAGTGTCATTGCATGAACAAATCCTATACAAGATTATGTATGGTATTAGTAACACAGTCGCATCATGCTTCGTATGTTCTATTTACCAGGCCAACTCTTACCTTGATGTCCCTTTAATGTTGCATTGCATATCATACGATTTCTCACGTCCCACCGTTTAATAGTATGGTCAAAACTCGCACTAAACATAGCACCATTAATATACGCTAATTGCCACACCTCCCAGTTATGGCCAGACAGTGTAGAGATTGCTGTTGAATGATTGTCATTTATATTATACACGTGTATAACAGCATCATTTGTAGATGCAAACAGCATATTGTCGCCAAAGGCAACATCAAGAACCTCTGATGAATTGCATGAAATAGTGTGTATGCAAGTGCCTGTAGTGACGTCCCAAATCTGTCTCAAAAAAATAATGTAGATAGCACGCGCAATGATTAGGTGACGGGGTCGTGATAATTTTAATCTATAATGAATAAGGTGCAACGTACCTTTACAGTGCTGTCACTGCCAGCAGTAGCTAATTTATCATCTCGTATTGCGGTCAGGTTATTTACCCCATCAGTATGGCCCGTGAATGTAGCCAAATTCTCCAATGTTATTGGGTCCCATACCTTCACGGTTTTATCTGAAGATGCTGAAAACAGCTTATTTCCTGATACAACCAAGCCATATATTTTTCCGGAATGTTGGGTCAAAGTCTTTACACACGCGTTAGGTTGGTTGGCATTCCAATCCCATACCTTGGAAATAATAAAGATATTAAAATTCGAACGTGTACACCTTGTAAAATCAACATTTATAGACATACCTTTATCACACCATCCGAACCAGCACTAAAGAAACGCTCAGTTTCGTGACAGACAGCCAAAGCCCACACTGATACTTGATGACCGTTTAGGTCTTTAATCATTTGCCCCGTGTCTGCATCGAATATCTACAGTCATGGAGAAATTGATGAGTTTGTTGAACAGTTCCACCAGTCATGCTGATAATTTTGCAACTTACCTTTGTGGATCCATCATGTGCACCTGCATAAATCAATCCTCTGCTAAAGGCCAATGACGTTACACCACATTTGTGTTGCGAAATCGTGCGCTGACATGTAATATCACCGTATGGGAATGACTGTTACACAAAATTAGGTGATGATTATATTTTTAACTAATGCCAAAAAGAAAAGGATTTTGTTGGTGAATCATACGCTCAGCCCAAGATACACATCTTCATCCTCGTCACCTATCGCAGGGTCATCGGATATACCGTCTTGGACGTCATCTGCTGATGGCTTGAAAATGTTAAAATGTAAAACTAGAAAACATACAAACACCAATTATACATTAAAGCTGTTGATAGCTGAGACTCTATTCATCTGCTTACCAGCATATTAAATTTCGAAATAAATCGACGTAGTTTGCTAATTTCTTGTTGTTGATCCTTGTGGGAATAGCAATTAGTTTTTTGATCAATTGGACTGAGAAGAAACACTATCTCAAATTCAATATATTTATATATAGATATATCACTTATACTTGACATACCGTCACTGTCTTTTCCAATTTTTCCAATTTTGCATTATTACTGTCAATGTATACCTTTAGTTTCTCAAATATACATGTCTGCATGTGTTCCTTCACTGACACAGCTGTGCCTAAACATCATAAACATGTTAGCAACATTCACCAACGTGGATCTCAAGTAATCTTGCAAATGTGCAAAAACAACCTTTGAAGTCACATCCATATTTTGAATTATCGCAAACCGTGGGCGAATATGTACAATACATCATGTGATGGTGGTAAGAGTCCAATCTGACAGTAGTTGGGCATCCATATTTCTTATTGCTACAGTAAACTTGTAATTCTTGTATAATTCCAGCTAGTGCCAGATTTGGATGAAGATCTGAAGTAAAGCATTAAGAAAAAAGAATGAGCGTATCGAAAGAAATAGGCATTGTCTACAACTATATCAAACACATGGCACGGCACATATAAACAATACAGCCTACCTTCTATTTTCAGTCTCGATCGACACAAAGGGCAACAGGCTTCAACATCCAAACTCTGAAATATACATGACGCACAGAACGAGTGATTGCATACATGCGTAATCAATGGTTCCCGGCATACATCATGACAACTACACAAAGCCGATATATAAATATATATGTTAATTACCTACTATTCGTGATTAAAGCAACTTTATTGATACTTTACACTGGACAACACAAGGAATGCGAAGGAGTTTGAACGAATTCAAAATTATCGTCCTGCGGGTTCACACTCATTCGCGTGTATCTGCAACGGGATGAGTGAGTTCATCAATCAGTCGATCTGAGCAGAAAATTCTGGGATTCACAAGAGCACGTGGTGTAACACAGGCACTGAAACATGAAAGATATTCCCGCCGTTAGTTTTCGCGTTGGCTTCCCGCGCGCAATTAGACAGATCTTGTATTTAAATCAGTTGGTGCAGTTATTAAGCGTTTGCCCTTTTTTAAAGATCCAACATCTAACGAGCAAAGATGCCAAACCCATTCGACCTTGCTCCCGATCTCCAGGCTCTACTGAGTATTGAGACTTTCCAGGTATGAGCTCGATGTTTGCGAAGCATCATATAACCAAGGGCTTCAATTAAAGTGCGATCTGCTTACTTTAGGGCAAATTCACCACCAAAGACTTTGTGGAAAAGGCTACGAAAAATCTCCTTCCCTATACAAGCCCCAAAGGTAAACATCTACGCATCTACTTTTTAAAAAAGCCAAGACTAAACATTCTCTTTCATGCTTTCCTTTAGCTTTTAATCCAAAACCGCTTATTCGAACATTTGAGGCTTCGATCGAAGAGCTACAAAAACTTCGGCAGACTGTACAACAGCAGAGCGATGACTTGGAAGGAAGCGTACAATTTACGGAAGCAGCTCACCGGAAGAAATTACAAGAACTTAATTCGACCTTTGAGGTACCGTTGTTAATACGAGCACGCGCATTTCAACTGGTTTTTAAATAAGCCTCATGCGTTAATATGAGCCTACCAATATTCAGGAAGTCGTCCGGTCCTTTGAAAATCTGGAAACCCGAATAAATGAAGTTGGAAATACGGCAATCAGAATTGGTAATATAGTAACACATGAAAACCACATAACATTTTAACTTGCTTGTATCTTTTTTGTTTTTTACGCAGCCGTACCATAATTCCATTTTCTTCGTTTCTAGGCGAACAACTTGAGACTATAGACAGGCAGCGACTGCGTGCTTCAGAATCAAAGCAATTAATAGAGTATTTTATGGCATTCAATCGTGGTGATATGGCTTTTTTAAAAAGTAGATG